TTTTTTTATAGTCTACGCAGCCATCCAGAATTCTATTCTAAGTGCAAAAAAACTCTCGTGCTCATTCCCGAAGAAGCAACGACTTATGTGAAGTAGCACTCGTTACCCAGTCCTTAGCCGCTTCGAGCTTAGCAGCTGTCTCATCAAAGTTCATTCGGAAAAAAATCCACAATCGCAAAAAAAGGAAAGATGGTAATTCTTGCTGCCCGGCTACCAATCCCTCCCCGATTCCCAGCTATTCCCATCATGCCTGCTGTCCCCTTTTACTGCCCCGGTGCCCGGCGCCGAGCCTCCCTTCTTGCACGGTCCTCCATCTCTTGCTCCATTAGCCTCTTTATCGTCTGTAGATGGCGAAGTGCTTCTTTTGAAAAGAAGGTTGTTCGGGATATGTCCTCTCCCCTACTCAACTTTTCCTGACCCTTCATTGCCCATTGATAACGCAAAATACTGGCCCATTGATCGAACCAATCGTTGAAAGTTAGCCCGAATTCTCTTTTCCATGGGTTCTTTTCTTCCCCTGGGTCCTCCTCTCTTCCCCGATCTTCGCTTGTGGGTGTTGTTACCTCATCTTCCTCCTCGTCGCTGGTGAGGTCAATGAACTCAACGGGATCATTCTCTCCCGGCCGTTGTCCTTCCTCTGGGTTCCCCTCTTCCTTACTACTAGGATCACTGTCTGAAGGCAGCTTTATTGGCTCCCCTTCCTTTAGTGGTGACGGTCCTCTGGTTCCTTGCTTTCTGCCTCCCCTGTTCACAACTAGGTTGTGATCGAACCCCACATACAACTTCCTTTTCCTGGAGCTTGACTCTCCAACTTGCCTAGACGACTGTCCCTCTTCCGGCCTATTGATGACATTGCTGTCATTCTCATTTCCGTACTCCATCTTGCTGTTTTCTTGCTGTTTTCTCCTCGCCTGGCCCTGTTCATGCATAACAGTCACGGTACCCCTCATACACACGCATTCCCTTCCACTCCCCTTTGCGGCTTTGGAGGCTCTTGCTTGCCCCCATATAGTTGGTAACCCCATTATCCCTTAGAACCGTCGACACATTGTCCCGACACATAGGTGCCCCATGTAGGCAATCCACAACATCACCCTCCCCCCAAAAAACTATGGTACATTGTCCCAACTCATAAGTACCTTGCGTAGACAGTCCCCAACGTTACCCCCCAAAAAACTATAATACACTGTCCCGTGCTCCCAGGCCCAGTCACAATCAGCTCAGGCAGTCTCCCCACATTCCACAAACGTCAAGACACACAAACGAACAATCCCTGTGGTTATGATCACTTTCACAGGGAGGCGGTCCAGAGCTTATAGCCAGTTGCCTGCCTTTCAGGCTGTCAGTTCCCCAGTTTCCCTGTCCTGGGCCTCTTGTAGTCACTGTTCCACCGGATCCCTGCTAAAAAATCTGACCAATCTTTGTCCCGGAAATGACCCTCTTATGCTAGTACCATCGAGATCCTCAAGTTCAAATGTGTTCAGTCCCACCCGCTTAGCGATCCTGTAAGGCCCTTTGAATCTTTTTCCCAACTGCCCGGAGCATGTGCTTTCCAGAGCGGAGTTCCTAACTAGCACATTTTCCCCCACCTGGAGTGGTTCCTTCCGAATGTTCTTAACTTGGTCCCATTTTGCTTTATCCCTCATTCGGCTGTCCGTCACACGATTGACTACTTCCTCGAGTGCCTCCTCATTCCTGGCGACCTGCTGACAACGTGCGGTGATTAACTATTCCGTGCTCAAGTGTGGATCGTCATTTAGCCTGTTCCAGGTAGGGAGCGAAGCTTCTATCGGAAAATCGATCTCCCTTCCATGCCACAGTTCTGTTGGAATACATCCCGTTGTTCTTTTTGGAGTCATGTTCTCAGCGAAGACTGCCTGCTTGAGAAACCGTGGCCAACTTCCCAAATTATGTGCTGCCAACTTTGCGATTGTGTTCTTCAAAGTCCGGTGACCCCTTTCTACTGGTGCATTTGCCTCAGGATGGTAGGGCTCGGTGATCTTGATCGGTACACACAGTGTCTTAAGCCTGTTCAACACTTCCTGGTAAACGAATTATGTCCCGTTGTCTGCTATAAACCTGCGCACGAAGGGGTGCCTTAGGTAGAAATCTTCCACCCAGTCGGCCACCGCTTTCCCCGTCTTCTTCTTGAGGGCTATGGCTTCCACATAGCCACTGAGATTATCCCTTGCATCCAAGATGTATCTAAACCCATCCGTTGATACGGGCATAACGGCAAGGTCGAGGTGAACAAGGTGTCCGGGTCCTAGTACCCGGGTGGGTCTAAGGGGCTCGAAAACTCGTACGGCATTCCTTTCTTGACATATCAGACACGTTTGACAATACGTTGCGACCATGCCTGCCATCCCTGACCAAAAGTACAGGGGCACGATCTTTGCAAGTGTCCCCTTGGACGACCGGTGACCTCCAACTAGCCCGTCATGCATTTCCTGGATTACGTCCAGCTGCCTAGACCTCCCACAAACAACACGCCTAGGTGTCATTCCTTCCTCTTTCTTGAACAGGTGGCCATTTCTTAGGACATACTTTTCGACTTCCTCCCTTGCCTTGGGACTGACTTCCGTAGGTTGTTTGTTCCCTACAAGTAGTAGACCGATTTCTGTGAAGACGCCCTCGTACATCTGTATGAGGAAGAACTCATGTTCCTTCTGATCCGTACCCTGCTCCTCCCGAGTGATGTTGACTAGATACTGACACTCCTTTTGCGCCCAGGCTTCGGCCAACGTCATCACGGCGTCCCGTCCCCCCTCCACGGTCATTGCCATCAGTTCCTCTCTGGCCCCTACTTCTGCTCCCCACGAGTCCTTTTCCTCCTTGCGCCTGACCGTGGTGACTGGTCCTTCCCTGAGTTCTGCAACCACTGCAGGTGTGCCCTTTTCCAAGGTCTGAATCAGCAACTGTCCTGTTGTAATTGCCGGATCTGCCATCTCATTATCCACGACAAGGGTCCCTCCTTCGTACTCCAGGAAGGCGTCAATTGGTTCTGCGTCCTCTACTCCTTCTGGCGTGATACAAACCCTGCTCAACCCATCTGCCCTATTTCRAAGCCCTGCAATTCGCTCGACCTTATAGTCGAATTGCCATATGAAGCCTATCCATCTGCCGACAGTCGGGTCTATGGGCTTGTAGTTCTTTARGGCTCCGRCAACGTTGGTGGGATYGATCCTTAKGATAAATCGCCTCCCGAACAGGTATGCCTGGAAGGTCTTMAGACAATGCAGAATTGCTAAGACCTCCTTCTTGAACTGCGAATACCGTCGTTCTGCTGAATTCAGGGTCCTACTTTCAAATCTGATTGGTCTTTCTTTGCCCTCCTCGCTTCTCTGTATCAATACTCCTCCCACTGCCAATGGTCCCCCATCTGTTTCTAAGATGAAGGGCCGTCCCACCTCGTCATCAAAACAGGGTGCTGCTAACGTGACCTGATCGGACGACAGGATGTCTTTCAGGGTCTGGGCTGCCTCTTCCCTATCCTCTGTCCAATCCATAGTGCCACCTTCCCTAATCATCGCGCGGATGGGTTCTGCTATCTTTGCGAAACCTTTGATGAAGATCCTCCAGAACCCAACCACCCCTAGGAAGGCTCGTACTTCCGTCGTGATATGCAGGGGTGTCGGCCACTGAGAGATCTTATCAGTTTTTGTTGGATCGGGTCTCCTCCCATAAGCTCCACAGCGGAATCCCAGTATGGTTACTTCCGGGACGGCCAGGATGCTCTTGGGTCCGCTTGCAGTAATGTTGTAGACTAGAAATCGCTGGAGTAAGTCCTTAATATCCTGCAAGTGGTCCCAGACGAACTTTCGCACTCTTGGTTCTACTTCCGTCTCATCTTTGTATCTTGCGCCTTTCACGGGATTATCATCTATGTAAGGTTCACACTTTTCCGGAAACATATCCCCTGCGACGACGAGCATCCTCCTATGAGCTTCTGCTACCGCATTTGTGAAGCCCATAGGGGTCACTTGCATCTGCAGCTGTCCTACCGGGTTGTGCATTGCAGTATACGGTCTATCCCTCGCGTCAAGCGGCAACTGATCATATCCTGAGTACAAGTCTACCAGGGAGTAAATACCCCACCCCGCATGAGATTCTTCCAACAAGTCGGCCTATGGAAGCGAGCGTGCGTCCCTAATTATTACCGCATCGAGCTTCTGCAGGTCCTGAATCCACCTGAGTGTCTTATTGGGCTTCCTGAACACGAACCACTTGTTCGCGTAGGGGGATGCGGTGGGTTCAGCCACGAAAGAATCTATCTTAGCTCTAAGCAGGTCGGTGACCTCCGCTGCTATCCCAAATTCATAGACAGACCCTTTATCATTCCAACACTCGTGCTGTACGGTGTGGATCCTGACAGGGGGAACTAGCTTTGCGTCCAATCGCCCTTTCTGATGATCGTTGAAAGCGAAAGCTAAATGAAACTTCTGGCATGCCTTTCTTATCAATTGAGTTTCTTCCGTTGTTAGAAACCCTTCCACTCCTATTTTCATGGTGTCTGCTACCTCATCTGGTATGCGATGCCCTTCTGTTGCTCGCCTCTCCCTTATTACCCACAAGATTTCCTCCTCCTTCTCCATGGCCTCTTCCTTCGACGTTTCTACTAGGATCGAGACCGGCTTGGCCTTCTTGCCTACGGGTTTATACTTTCGCACACTACCTTCGGGGATCGTTCTCCTAAAAAATAAACGGTCGGGATTGGCCTTGCTACCTTCAAGACGTGGGGCTGGATGCTGACTGGCTTCCCATTCAGACAGTAGCCCTTTCGAACCCCATCCTCAAATCTGGCAAGCGCTGCGAGGTCCACCCCCACTTTGTGGTACCTGATGGCCTTAACAAGTTGTAATAAATCTGGGATTTCAAGCATTACCTCCGACGTTTCGTTTCGACCTTCCTTTGGTTTGGGCAGGTTGGCCCCAAGTTCGACTTCCGACTCTTTTTCTGCCACCATAACTACCAGGGACTCGTCCTCTGGCCTCCTCTTCTTTACGGGCAAGCCCATCTTGATCCACTCCTTTTTACTAAAAGCCTCCTCAATCATAATTTCTACCCTTTCCCTCATTCCTTCTATTCGTGCGAATGCCCCCTTCCGTGCACTTTCTTCGAATGTTGGCGACTAGGTTGCCAATTTGCCCTTCGGAGGGTCCCCTCCAGTTCCGAGGAGTCGCAGGAGTTTTCTGCGACCAGTCACCGGGTTCTCTATGTCTACCATGTATGTGCCGTCGTGCAGATGCATTCCTATCATTTCCACATTGGCGCACCATGGTCTCCCGAGGATTACGTCGTGATCCATTTCTTCCATCACGGTCATCCGCTGAAAGGACCAGATGGATTCCCGGATTCCCGCCCTAACTGCACATTTGGTGACATACCCTGTGAAAGGGATTTTGCCACCTGCTCCCCGGATACTCCCTGCTACTTCCTTGTTTACCGTGCATCCCGTGACCGTTGCGAAATTCCGTCGTATAAGGGTGATTTCTGCTCCGTCGTCCACTAACGCGTCAGTGTGGTGAGTTCCAATTTGAACTGTAAGTTTCTCAACTGGTAATGCATGAAAGCTAAGCTTTGTCCCGGGTGGCGCCCTCATGACTTCGCCACCTTCATAATCCGGTAGGCTTAGGCGGATGTCCGCAAAGGCTTTCTCCAACTCTCCAGGCCCCCTGGAATGCTTTGGAGGTTGGAGACTCCTTGCAGCGCCTCGACCTCCTCCGTGTCCTACTCTTGTAGTTCCGGGGCCTCCTCTACCTCTACGCGCTTACGCGTTAGCAACTGCCTGAGTCCTTTAAGCAACCTTGGGCTGGCTTGCAGCATGGTCTGAAAAGACACCGATACCATGGTACCCAGTAGCTTACTCAAGGTGCCATCGATTTCTGGCGAAGTCAGGATCAGAATTTAATACCTGAACTTCTTTTTTGCGGCCGTAGCCTTGTCTACCGGTTCGTCCTCCCTTGGCTTCCCATAGACCTTCTCTTGATCCCCGGCTTCGGTCTCTTGTTGGCCCGTGCTAGTCCCTGCGAGTTCTTCCATTACTGTATCCTGGATGAACTTTTTTTCTGCCCCGGCCCGGCGAGTGGTAATATTTACCCTATCCTGGCCATTGCCTTCTAGGATAAAATTGGCCTGTGGTCCCCATCCCCTTGGCTGGTCCCAGACAATCTCGGCTATCGGCTCTGCTTCTACGGCAGCTATCTCTAAGTTATTCAGGAGGATGACGGCTCGCCGCATCCCTCCTGGCGAGTTCCAATTAACACGCTCCCCCTTGGGTCCGAGGATCCCGCCTTTGAGGGAGCTGCTGCACCTCTGCCGCTCGATATCGTGATTGAGTCTCGGACAGGCCCATACAAAATGCCCAATCATGGTGCAATACTTGCATTGTTCGTTGGCCGGGTCCCTCTTGCCAAACCCCCGGTTTGCTACAGCTGCCGGAACCACGGCCTCTTGGGGCAGGAGGGCGGGTCTGGACACTTACGCCTGCATTACTAACAACGCATTTTCCATTCTGTCCATCTTGCTATCAACCCCGTGCACCCGTTCGTGCAGACTCTCTATCCCCTTCTTGACCTTATCCCCTATCTTCCCGGTCAGATCTATGACCTCCCCCTTCTTAAGTAGGGCTAGCGTCTCGGTAACCACTGTCTTTTCCGCAAGGTCTGTTACGGTGCTGAAATCCACATCTCTCGTGTATTCGAACTTACTGGTCTGCTGGTATGCTGACAAAATCTTATCCTTATTAAACTCGGAGAACTGCCTGAGGAAGTATTTACTCATTATGCGGTCCGTTACCCCGGGAATTCGCAGAGCCACTAACGTGAACGCCCTCAGGAAATCGTTGTAGGTCGCATAGTTTTTCCTCTGGACTGCAGCTAATTCTGCCTCTGTTGCCATTTTTTTTGCCTTCAGGTATTTCCTCATCATCTCATTCCTGGTTTCTTTCCAGGATCCACTGGAGGCGATGATGGCCATAATGTCCCTTCCCAAACTTAGCAATACGTGTTGTTCTAGGTGCTCCATCTTTTCCTCTTCCGTCCATTTCAGTAAGGCTGCTAGGTTCTCATAGTCTATTAGAAACTCCGTAATGTTGACCCCATCGAACGTAAGTTTCTTTTTTGCATCTGCAAGATACCCCTGGTTCTTGTTCAGTATTCTGTTGAGGGTGGCGACTACTTTCTTGAGACCGTCTTCGGAGCCACCCGCTGACTCCTTCCCCTTCCTTGCTTTCCCTCTGCTTCTCCCTGGTTTTCGGTGTTCCTTCTTGGTCGAACCATCCTAGCACTCTCTCCCTAAGGCTCCAGAGTCCGTCACACGCCCCTGTTACTTTCGGCGTGGCGGGTGGTCTGCTAGTGCCGCTGTCAATGGCTGGTGGGGTCATAGCGTTTTCCGTTCCTTCCGCCGGGGGGTCGCTCTTGTCCTTCCCCTTCTTGCTAGGCGTCCCTTTGTGACTATCATCCTTCCCCATATACCTAACCTCGTCCTGACCGGCCCTGCGTCCCTCACGTGACCCTGCGTCCTGGAGGTCCTCTTCATCCCCGACCATCATCTGCTCGATAAGTCTTGCCTTAAATTCCGCGGTCCGCTTCTCTATCTCTTCCAGTTTATGACTGGTATCCAAGACTTTCGTCTTTTTAGGGGTGACTCCTGCTGAGTTCCGAGGACTCGTTCTCATCTCGTTTCCCCCTTCCCTGTTTTCCTGAGGTCCCCTTTTGCTACCCCGGCTTTCCCCGAGCTTTCCCCAATTGAGGCGTCCTTTCCGTCTTCTCGGGTCCCCTCCAGTTTGGCTGACTCTCGATCCCTGGCTGATCCCTCGTTTCGTTCCCCATTCCCATTCGTGCCCTGATTACCTTCGCCCTGCTGGTCATCGATCCCTTCCTTCGTCACCATTTCTTTACCTAGCCTGTACATGAAAATTTTTTTTTGCGAAACGGTTGCCGACTGTTCATAACTGCCTTAGTCCCCTCCCTAAAACCCGCCTATTCCCATATTTTTTTTGCGTCTTGTATGAATTGGTCCGACTCTCCTGACTTTCCTTTCCCAGGGCGTCCTTCAGGTTTTTCTCCCGCCGGCCTTGCCGCCGCCGCTCGACATTTCTTTACTGTCGAGCTGAGGTTCTTAGGGCGGTGCCTGAGCCCAGTGGCTTCCCTATCGGGTGTGGCCCTTTTGGCTTATTGGCATCCAGGTGCCTCAAAACTTTTGGAGCGGGTGGTCTTCCTTGTTCCTTCCTGCCGCATCATTGGTTCGCCCAGGACTCCAACCACTGCCCCTCTTTTGCTGATGGCCGCCTACTTATCTTAGTACCCATCCTTTGTTTCCCTACCTCTTCCTGACACGTTTTCTCATGCTGGTCCCTCAGGCCTGCCCTGCTCATCCGGTTCCTCGAATAGGTCAGCCAACCCAGCAAGGTAATTTTCCCCCATTTCTATCTCCCTGATAATTATTGGCTCGTATTCTTCAAACGACAGGTGGGGCAATCCGAATATCAAGATCTCGAGTAATTTGAGTCGGCTCATCTCTGACCGACACGTCGTAGAACATGCCCGTTGTCTGCGGCTGGAAGAGGTGGATCCAGACCAGGGTCGAGTCCACCAAATCCCTTGTCCTCTTGAGACTGCTGAATACCAGGTCTACCATGAAGCGAGGCACTCGACACCTCAGCCCGGTCATCGGGGCCTTAAACTCTCGCCAACCTTCTATCTCCACCCGAGTCCTTAGCCCCACATTCCTTCTTCCTCGCACTTCCTGGCCTACCCGATTTAGTACTCTAGTAGCCCTCTGGAAGATTGGCAATAACCCATGCCCTAGTGCCAACTCCGTCCCTAACATGTACCACCCGAGCTCTGGCAGGTATACGGTCCCCGTCACCCTAAGATCGGTGTACAGATTGTCCCCCGGTCCCCTGTTAATTCTCATACCATCCCACAAACATTCCACCATTATGAACGCCTGACCTCTTCCCAGGGTCACGACTCTCCACTCGGTATCCAATCCTTGAATCATGTAGCTTGCTGGGAGCGACACCTTCCATCCATCTCCGTTTTTCATGGGTGGTCGCGGGTGCATGGGTCGTCGCGGCATCCGGGCGCGTCTCATCGCCATTTCCGATTTAGAAGCCCCCTGCACAATTTTAAACAACACGAGAGTTTGCTTATTGCACTTGGTCTTCAATTTTCCACCCGAACAACTCCCCGATCCCTAGCCTGGTGCTTCTTTTCCCCTTCTATTTCTTTCCCCTCTCTTCGGCCCTATTACCGACCTGTTCCCTCCTCCATCTGCTCATACAATCGGTACAGATCATCTACGTACGCCATCCCATGGTTTATTTCCCACTGGACGACACTCCACAGGACCTCACTTCCCACGACCGGAACCCTTGGCCTGGTACTAAACACAGCACGCAGGATGCGCAACACCTCGTACTTCTGCTCTCCGCTAAACGGTCCCATTTCTAAGAAGGCCCGGTAGTATTCTCGATATACCGCCGTTTCTTCATATGTCAGGCTTGCGAGGTCGGCTACTGCTTGTCTAACAAGTTCCAGACCGCCCAGTTTTTCCAGCACAAAGGGCGGCAGCCTCATTCGTACATTTTCATTAGGCAATTCGAAACTCCCGACCATGGCTACCCTAAGGTCTGCCGTTACATCGTCAACCCCTGGATCTGCGAACTTAAATCCCGTTCACCAAACTAACTGCCATGCCCCCTCAAACATGCTCAACGGGTCTTCTCCAGATGCCAACCGAACTCCGAACTCCCTCCACCCGTTTTCTGACACATACAACCGCCCCTCTGCCCTCACGTGCCCCCGTGGGTCCAGGTTCCATTCCCCATTCTCAGCCACACGCCACTCAACTTTCGTCACCAAATAGACCATATTTTTCACAAGCTCGATCCCGACCCAATCCGCCACCTGGTGTTGTCCCTCGCCTGTTGCCGGCAGGCTAACCTCTATCCCACCCGGTACTTCCCTAGGCGGTTCAATGCCCAAGGGGCGCTCCTCAAGGAACGTCCTTCTTCATGCCATCGCGCGCTCGCCTTTGATCTTCCGGCTCGCGGTCCGCGCTGAACCTTACAATGGCCAGACATCCCATTCCCTAATCTTAGCAATTTTGCCGTATTTGTCTGGCTCCACAGCTTCCCTGCGCTTAGTCGGACCACAGTACTTCGAACAATTTGAACATATCACCCACATAGCAAGGTGTTGCTGCTATCTCACGACAGATTATGGCCTCCCTGGTTTCCGCGGCCACCTCCTGCCGGCCATTCCTTTCGATGTCCAAAATGATGAGGACCTCCCGGGCTCTATCACTGTGGAAGGGCCCGTATTTCAAGGATGCCCTATAAAATTCCCCTGCCAGCCATGTGCAATTCATGTGTATTCGCTCCATCGTGTCGGCTACCTCTGTTACATGATCAAAACCCCCAAACCAGTCCGCCATGAACTCGTGTACCCAGGTCTTGATTCGGGCACCGGGCGGTTTAAATTCCTTCCATCCTCCCATCACGACTCTGCTGCTGACCGTATCCCATCCTTTGTTAGCAAAACTTTCCCCCGCCTGCCGAGCCCTTGCCTCAGCGTCCCCAAAAAGCCACATCGGGTTCTGTCCTGCCGCGAGCGTCGTGCAGAACAGGTGCCAACCCTGTTCCGAGAGAACGATCGTCCCAACTGATTCCACCCTTCCTTCCGCAATCTCTTCCCATCCTTCCTCTTCCCTCAACGAATTCCAGGTACGCTCTACCCAAAGGTACGATAGTTCCGGCACAATCTCATACCCCCGCCAATCACACGTGGTCCCTTTCCATTCATTGCTCGGCGGTATTGACATCTCTACTCCCTTTCTGGTTCGTCTTGGTTCCCATGTGCAGTCCCATAATTCGAGTTTCCGGGCCATCGTTCCCTACCTGCACATAGCCGACAAACCGTTTTCCCCAGGTAAGCCCCCCCCTTCAGAAGTCCCAGTCCTCTATCTCGTCTCCGTCCTCCTCATCACCAAAATCCTCCTCCTCGTCTAGGAACATCTCTTTCACCCCTTCCAAGAAGGTTTCCCCTGCTGCCACGTTTCGGTAAACTGCCAATGCACCGGGCTAGGAACGAAGGTTTCATCCGCGCAGAGGAGGTTTAACACCTCAGCTAATTCTTCCGCCCAGTTTCCTTCAAACGGCCCCGCCTCCATCGATAGTTTAAAGAAGTGCTGCTTAGCACCTTGGTACAACCTCAGGCACGTCATCGACCGACATATCCGCTCCAATCTACCCCTGGTTCCGAAGACTGCATCCACCAGGAATGGGGGTAGCACGCATTTCATTGTCCTAAGGGGGTGTCTCATTTCTTTCCGGTCCCCGAGTTCCACTCGCACCTCCATCCTTTCCATCTCCATTTCTGCCCGCTGACATGCTGTCCATACCACTTCCCGTTCCGCCTGCCTAAACAGCTGATCCGGTGCTGTGCCCAATACTAGTCCCACTACCATTGCGTTTTCCATTTCTTTAGATAGGAAGATCCATCCTCGAGCTTCCACTGTTCCCCGAAATTCTAGGTCCATCAAGCTAGGTGAGAGTCTTGTCAGGCTGACCTTAGTCCAGATCGTCTCTATCTAGAGGAATGCGTCCTTCTTGTCCAGCATCACGGTTCCATAGGCTGGTTCTAGGTCGGTCCATGTCCCTTCTTCCGGGAGAACAACAGATATCACATCCCTTACTTCTATAGGCATTTTCGTACCACTAGAGTAGACAGGAGCCGACAACCATCGCGCCATCTTGTTTTCCTGGTGCCCGTCCTGTTTTTCACATGAGAGCACCACACGGCCCTTCATGGTCAGATGGTTTGTTTTTCCTTTTTCTAGATGAGGGTTGTTTTCAGACCCCTCATCCGGGTCTCCCTAACCTCCCTTATCCATTTCTCAGGTACCATTGCCCTACTATACCCCCAATCGATCACTCGTGGCTCGCATTCCTTCTCTTCTTAGTTTCATTCTCTTCCGACTCCTGTCCAACCTCTTCCTCATGTTCTCTCACTCGTGCGGACTTAGGCAGGGGTCGAGAATAGACCAGAAGCTTGGTTCCCCTTCCAACATTCTTCAGGCAACTTTACAGAGGGAGGTACAAAAAGCAAAACTCAGGCAAACATCGCACACAGGTCGGTCATCTCCTCACCGACCTCTTTCCTGGAAATGGTCTCTCCACTGTTACTATCGGCAGGGCTTTACCCCATACCTCAAACACAGCTCAACCGTCGCGAGCGCGATACCCAGGTCTCGTCAAGGCATTCGCCCTTTCCTCCTTACCCAGAATACCCCATCCCGACTTGCCGCTCGTGTACCCACCGTTAATCTCGGGAATCACCCCGCACATCTCGGTAAGGCCATTGGAGACGGCCGTCCAGGCATTCACTTCCATCGGTCCGACAAGAATCAGCTTTTTCCAAGCCATGCTACGAGAAGCTTTTAATCGCCTCCGAGGCTCCTTCCTTGCCCCATATGCGGTGGTCCCCCTGCCGTCTGCCGACAAGCAACCGCCCCGCCTGAAGACGTTTCACACCCCACCTGGCCAAGATCATCGAGCCATGCTCGGACCGCTCGGGTGAGAATGCTACTAATCAGCCGACGAGACCCACCTTTGCCTGACAGCCCGGTGGCCCGACCCGCACACACGGGACCCGGTGAACTTTAAAGAGGACGACCATTCGGCATCCCGCACCGACCGGCACAAACCAATCCTTTCCTTCCGAAAGGCAGGACGCTCGAATCCCCATCATGCAAGCACAAGCCCCAAGGTGGGACACACATAACACAAGTGCCTTTCCCGGGTGCACCAGTGCTTCCTACCCATTGCTCACATATTTTCACTCAGGACAGTGCGTGTCACTCACCCCTAACTTCCATACATAGTGCCCGGTTCCTTCTCGTGAGCATTTTCATAGGGGGGGTAGTTTTTCTTGGAGTCTAGCAACTCCCTCTATTTCCTTATCTTTGCTTGTGTGTCTGTTCATAGCAGCGTTGTCGAGCGGGGATCCCCGGGGGCAAAGCCGGTTTGAGGCTGCGGCCCCCGGACCCCCGCCGCGGGGGCCATCCAACCCCGCCACCGCCGGACGACCCCCGCCGCCGCCCAGCCCCGGGTACCCCGCCGCCTAACCCCGTAGGCCCGCCACCGGCCCCGCAACCCC